GGGGCTGCCCCACTGCCTGAGCCCCTCTGCGGCTTTGCTCTGCGTCTTCCTGGTCTGCAGACCAGGGAGACGCAGAGAAAGCCCCAGAGTACACGGGCGGCAGGACCGCGAGGTCCCGCAGTCCGTGTACTCTGTGGCAGCCCCGTTCGTATCTGCGGATCCGACATAACTCGGATCCGCGTAAGTCGGGGACTGCCTGTACCAATCCCTACCTCTGGGTGCTATTACCAAAATGTTGAAAGCATAAAAGAAGAGAAAAAATATTAAAGATACTACATCAACTCCTTCCATCAAGGCATCCAATGGACATTCTCCTAATCTAGCCATCCTGTCCCTCATCCCACACTCCTACTAAAGGTCCATAGAAATCAGATGGATCTTTGTGGTATGCCTTGAAGGTCAACAAATCTGAGCTGTGATAGACAATGAATTTGAGTTGAAGACCTTTCATGGGAACTGCCCTACCAGCAAGAGTAGCCTTTCCTAACCTACACCTTCCCATCTAAAAAACTGTTAGCTCGACTGCTTGTGCTGATCACAACGGCAGTGATAGCCACAAAGAAAGGTAATCTCTACTCTAGCTGGACACAAAACTATTTAGGCTTTTAAAAGGTTACAAACAATATTTTAAAATCCATTCAGATTACAGGAGGAGCTTATGGTCCATGTAATTGGAGAGAGAGGTCACAAATGGAGACAAGTAGCAGAAATTTACGCTAGCACCACCGATGTATTAATCTCAAATATCATTTCTTCTCCTGCCACTGACCACATCATCGGCAATGTCCCATCTCTGTGAGATAGCAACTGACAGCAGAAGATTCTGAAACTCTAATTGTAATTACAAATATCTTCAGACTTTATAGCTCATGCATGGCACAGAGCACTTCTCATCCTGACACTTTTGACACACCGTGCTGCATGAAGTGATGCTGCTATATTGCTTGCTCAGCTAGTGTTTCTGTACAGTTTGGTGCTTTTCCAACACATACTACAATTTATGGTGAATTTATTGCTATGCAACTTCACTGCCCGTCAAAGATATAGTAATTGTGCATGTATGTATGTATACTACTTGATTCTTGTTCATTTTCCCTGTCCTCTCACTCAGGTTACATTACCGAGCATGAAGTCAGGTCTTACGTCTCCTTCCTGGATGAAGCTGCAGAGAAAGGAGAGGGGACGACCTCAGCTCGAAACAGCACCTCTCTGAAGTCCAGAGCTGGGAGAACTCAGCTGGCATTAACAGGCTGCAGTTCATAGATTTTAATGCCAGAAAAGATCTCTGTGATTGCCTAGCCTGACCTCTCATATAACATATGCCAGAGAACTCCCCAACCCCAACAAATAATCTCTGTTGGAACTAGAACCTCTCTTTTAGGAAAGGGTGATGTTTATTTAACTGTTTAAATGTTGATTTAAAAATTTCCAATGATGGTAAATCCACTATATCCCTTGAGAAATTGTTCCAGTGGTTGCTCTCAGTGTTAAAAAATTGTTCCTTGTTTACAATTTGAATTTGTTTAGCTTCAGCTTCTAGCCATTGGCTGCCTTGTTTACAATTTGAATTTGTTTAACTTCAGCTTCTAGCCATTGGCTCTTGTCATACCATTGTCTGCTCGACCGAGGGACCAATTTTCAATATTTTATTTCCCAGGTAGGCACTTAACAAGATATGAGCAAGTCACCTCTTAACCTTCTCTTTGTGTAATCAGGTTGAATTAGAAAAGGTAGCATGGACATACCACAGTCTGAGTGGAAAGATGTTGGATAATTGTCTGTCCTTCGCTAAACTTTTTCTGTAAGAGCCGGATTCTGATATTAATAAATATAAACTATTCCTCGCTTAAACTTAGTCTTCCTCTTTCTCACTAATTTGTAGGAATTCACAGTGACTGAGTCTAGCCAGGTCAACTTTGTGGGAACTGGAAGGATTGGCGATTAGCCCATCTTTCTGTGTTTAAAGCAGTGACGGTATTTTAACAACCTTGTGATTAAGACTGGCATTTCTTAGCAGTGTGATGGTGGGAATGGTTCTATTGGTTGTCTTGTAGTGGTGAGAGGTATGTGAAAAGAACAGGCTAGGAGGGGCTTGGATGGCAGATAGCATAAAGCAATGCCTATCAGGCTACGGTATTGATTTAGGCTTGGATTTTCAGTGGAGCCTGAGGTAGTTACATTTCCAAAGGCAAAATAATGTCAGTGTAAATTGGATGCTGAACTTCCTTTAAAATCTCAGCCAGAATGTCAATGTGTAAACAAAATTAAAACTGTTCCACCATATGAACTTTCTGCTGCACAAAATGGAGGCAGCTTCTCTTTTTAAAGACTGGGAAGCAACTTGCATGGCTATGAGTCCAATTTTTGCCTGTCTCCTCCCTTTAGGAACAAGACCCAGGTCTTTCACTGTACTACAGATCTGCTTTGACAGATATTACATAAGCCAGATATTCTATTCCTGCATTCTGTGAAGGGCTTTCCCGTCCCCTCTCTGTCTTAAAAAACTGGGCCTCTTCTCCCAAGTACAGTTAGAATCCAAACCCATCTCCCGTAGGTCTAAGAAGGACAATGGTGAGATCATCCTGAATTGTGCCCCTTTTAACAACCAGGTGACAGGAATCCAAACCAACTTCTTTTGCCTTTCATTCTTGAGAAATAAGGAGGGTGGAGAAAAATCAAAAGAATGCAGAATCAAAAGAATGTAGGATTAAGAATTAAGAGATGTTACAGAAATACTAACTTTGGTTGCGGTTAATTAGCCACCTAGCTGACAGTCCGCACAGGGAGGGCAAACATAATACAGGCAATAGAACAGAGGTGGTTTGACTAGGCGAGGGCTGAAGCACATTGGTAGTGAAGTGGGAGGAAACAGGCATTGTTGCTGCCTGTGTTGTATCCGTTCTGTGATTAGAGGATGTTATTCTTTAAGGTTGCCAATCCAGACCCTTTTCTGAGCACCAAATTCACTTCAATAGCACTAGCTACTGAAGATGTAATCCAGCCAGGCAGGATGGCCCACATGGGACAATTGGGACACAAGACACCCGAAATACAACTCCCATAAGTAGGCTGACTAGATATCTTGATTTTATAAGGGTAGTCCCAGTATTTGGAGGTTTGTTTTACGTGGGCTTCTTTTATCCCCTACCCCATATCCCGATATTTCACACTTGATATCTGATCACCCTCCTCATGAAGCACTGTGGCAGCATACATGAACACACTCATCATGAAGCACTGTGGCAGCATACATGAACACTGCCCTGAAACCAAACATTGTGGCAAAAGAGTTCAGTTTTGATTTTCTGGATGGAAGCTTTCTTTTTTGGTTGAAAATATTTGATTTGCAGGGTTTTGATGAAAAATCACTGTTATCCACAGGGAAACCCCTCCTCATGCGCACATTTTCTGCGGAACTCCTACTTAATCAGGCAAATTATGCAGAAATGAAAAGCCTTCTTATTGTTAGCCTAACAATAAATCTAATTCCATTCAACTTTATTGGGATGAGTAATAACAAACGGGATCCTGAGCAGCAAAGCTCCATCTGACCCAAAGAAAGCAAAGGCTGCTCAGGGCCTTGTAGGATGGGGCCTTTGGATTGCTAGAGCTTATCTGATTTTGCCTCAATTTTCTAGCCTTGGAGAGAACTACAAAGGCACAAAGTTTTGGTGACATCTGTATCTATACAATCATAATGAATTGCTAAATGCACTAGAATTGATGTATATAAATCATTGTATCAGGCTCATTTAGCCTGATGCCTATCGCCAATTAACATGTAATACGATCCCAGCACAAAAAAATCCCTTTTTTCCTTTATAATTAGATTTATCCCTAATAAAAAATGGAAGACATCCTGCCAGCTTTGAAATAGAGAGTTGGACTAAAGCTCACAGCAATATTTATTCATTTATTTAGATGGAAAAATACCCATATGCAAGGATCTAAATGGTCCAACAATTAATTAAACGTATAGTGACAACCCAGTAATATTAAAGCTTATATATGTGCAACACATTAAGTCAGCCAGCTAGTAAATCTGGGTGCAGCTACACTAGCTCGTTAGTTCGAGCTAGGTAGGGGAATGAGGGCAAGCGGAGTTGCAAATGAAGCCCAGGATTTAAATATCCAAGAGGGCTTCATTCCAAGAGGAGTAATGGTAGTTTGAATTAGGATCTTTAATTCGAACTACCTAGTCCATGCCGCATGTAGCCGCGGGCACAGAGTTCGGACTAAGGGGGATTTAAAAATGGTGGCACCCGGGAACATGCAAATGAAGCCCAGGATATTTAAATCCCAGGCTTCATTTGCAACTCCGCTTGCCCTCATAACAAGCTAGTGTAGCCGTCCCCTCACAGCCCCTTTCTCATCCTAATCTTGTGGCAACATTCCTTCAACCTTTCCCCAAGCCTCCAACAAGGAAATGGTGAATCAGTGGAACCCAGGCCCTACAGAATGATAGTAGGAGAAGCAGGCCTTGAGTGACAGAAAGCTTTTCTTCCTGAAGATGCCTCTTGGAGGATACAGCAACTGTTGAGGAGATCACAGCAGGGTGCTCAGATACCATATTGAAGAGAACAGTATAAAAACAATTTGCATGGTACTTCAAGAGAGGAAAGAAGATTGCAGAAGGAAACTGGGGAGGTACATTATAGTTGTACTCGAGATGGAATATGGGACTGGGACTAAGACATTTTATACATTAATCTTTTTACTATGATCAGGTATCTAAAATGCCAGTCCTTTTTGGAACACTGCTCACCTGTGCTTTTTCGGATAGGCTCTATTCCATTGCTCTATACACAAATTCACATTTTTCTAGCACGCTTAGGAGACTTTAATTTTCTACTGCTGAGCAGTTCATGAATTGTTTTCTCTATAAAGCTCTTTGATATAAAAGGTATCTCATATATTTATTTTGACCCCCACCTTCCCTAAGAGAGCCTCAGGCAATTTGACCCCTTTGACCCTCACCTCCCTAAAGAAAGGAAACAATGTTTTGCCTCTGGCAATAGGAGGTTAACAATAGATGGACTACAATCCTATTCTGCACCTGCCCAGAATCCAGCTCAGCTCTATGTTATGATTTCCTCCAAGGGTTTCCTCTTTAAAACACTACAGTTTTTTTAGCTAGAAAAGGGAGATTCACTTTGTGGTAACAATCTAGAGTTCCCTCTGTTCTCTTCCCTGGGTAATGTTTTATTGCTGAAAATATAACATATCCTATATTATGGATCAATTTTCAAAAACATTCTCACTCTCTCACTCACTGTAATGATGGGCATATATAAAAGAGAATACAAACCATAAACATTAGTGGGATCTCAAGATGAAATTTTGTCAAGAATTGTTTTTGCAAGCATATTGTTTTTGCAATATATTTTACTGTGCCATTACAACATATTATTCAATATAGCCCTGCTATCCATTATTGCAGCTATTTGGTATATACTACCAATTGATTTAGCAGTTTAGTTGCATTGTTTTGTAGATTTTAGTAAACAGAAGACATTGTGCTAGATTATGAGTCTAATTTGCGTGGCTGTGCATGATAGTAAGGTCCTGCACAGTAATGGAAGATCTACTGAGGACTCTAAGTGCAGGCATGGTGTTGGGAAAGGGCAGAGGAATCATGACTGCTATCCTCCACAATGTGAGCAATGAGGAGGGATAAAGGGAGGATGGGGACATAGAGTAAGTTAGATATATGATCCTGCCCCATCCTATGGGCCACCAAGCAGAGCTAGCTGGACATTATGAAGTGTGAGGATGGGGGAAGATACCACATCTGGTAATGAACTGACAGCATATGTCCTTCCTACTAAGTAAAACAGGAGCTCTAGAGAAACCATGATTCAGCGAGGTATCTGGGCCATGCTCTTCCCAGAACTTCCACTAGGGCAGTGTCACTCTTTATCCAAGGCTGAGAGTAAACTGTCGATTTAGCCCATAGCTAATAAAGATGACATCCAAAACTTTCTTAAAACAGCCTTTCAGCTTGGACAGTAAGGTGATGTCTTTTGTGATGCGCTTTTGTGTAAGAGAGCATCCACACTGCATGGATGCTCTTGCACAAGAAAGCTCTGATGGCTATTCACAGAATGGCCATCAGAGCACCTGTGCTTTTTTGGATAGGCTTTATTTGCACAAGAAACCCCTGCAGAGCATCCACACATGTCTTTTTGCACAACAGCTGTATTTCAAAAAGGAGTTATGCTTCGTAGAAGGAAGTTTACTACACCAAAAAAGCCCTTTGTTCTGCTGTTTTACTGTCATTTTAGTTGAATAAAAGTGCGTTTGAGGTGTGGACACTCCACGGGTTTTTGAGCAAAACCCACCATTTTTGTGCAAAAACCTTGTAGTGTAGATGTAGCCTAAGTGACCAGACCATAAAGAAAATCTAGTTATTAAACCTCTACAGTGATGAAGAACATGGTCCAAAAACCACAAGGCTATATCAGACTATTAGTTTTTCAGCAGAACTCACCACCAGCCTCATATGTCAGCTCCACTTAAAAATTGATGTCAACATTTATTTCC